ATTAGTTCATTCAAACACCACATCCGCCACAGCTTAAATTAGAGTCTAAGTGTCTGTAATCAATTGTACGTCTTCTCCTCAAGTTCATGCTGTGTCTGTCCGACAATGTATTGGATAAAGGCTTTGTATTATCTAGAATGCACTCATTAGTATTAGAATTAACAACTGAAATCGGAACAGACTCACCTGGTTCCTGGAATTGTATTTGATCAACATGTCGATTATGTGTACTTAAGTCATTGATATCTAGAAGTCGCACCATAGATTTCCCGACATTCTTCAGAACAATCCCTGTGGATGGTTGAAGATTATTGCCACGATAATATGTAACTTCTGCAGACTTCAAACATCTCATATTCGACCGAAGAATTCTTCCTTTTAATAGTTTTGATGGAGTCTCTTTCGTCACCGAATGTCTGGCATTTCTATATTGCAGTAGAAAGGTATCTACTCCCCTCTCCCAGCTCATTAATTGTTGAGGCAGCAATAGAATCAATGGCAGTTTTTAACGTCCTGACAAAATTTTCTGCCTGACCATTGGAACAAGGATGTCTGGGAGCAGTAAACAGATGTTTGCACCCTATACCATTTAACCAGGTAGTGACTGAATCTGCAGCAAAATGAGAGCCGTTATCAGTCACTAACACCATTGGAACCCCTTCTCGACTAAACACCTTTTTTAATGCTTGAATTGTGAAGTCAGAATTTGGTGAAGTTGTGAAGAAAACTTCAGGCCACTTTGAAAAAGAATCAATAACTACAAGCGCATAGTATTTGCCAAGAAACGGACCACAATAGTCTGCATGAATTCTCTGCCAGGCCTCAGACGATACTGGCCATGGAGTCCACTTCGAATGCTGATTTTTCAGCTTATGACACTTTTCACAATTGTTTGCTGTACGACAAATATCTGCATTTATCTCTGGCCTCCAACATGTGAGCCTCACCAATGACTTCATTTTTTCAACACCTAAATGTCCACTATGAAGATCTTCTAGGACAGATTTACGCAATGAAGGAGGAATAACAACACGATCATTTAAACACAAAATACAATCAGGAGTAGTAGATAGCTCATCCCGCTTTGAAAAATAGATAGGAAATCTACGTTTCAAATTAGCATTCCAACCTTTCCGTATAGCATTAATTATACATCCAAAGTATTTACGAGTTTCTCTAATGAGATCTGGACGTTTCACCGGTAAAGGTTGCACTAACAAACAGTCTGAAGTATTTACAGGTTTATCTTGTAATGACTGTCGAGAAATGTAGTCAACATGTTGAATTTGTTTGGCACTCCTGTGCTGAACCGTATAGTCATAGGCACTCAAAGCAATACTCCATCGTTGAACCATAGCAGCTGAGGAATGTGCTAAGGATTTTTCAGGATGATAAATAAACTTTAAAGCCTCATGATCAGTAACAATAGTGAATTTCTTTCCGAATAAATAATTATGAAGTCTTTTAACAGCCCAAAACACAGATAATGCTTCTCGCTGAGTCTGTGAATAACCTTGTTCAGTAACAGTAAGTTTGCGTGAAACACAAATAACTGGTCTACCCTCCTGTTAGAAAGCTGCCCCAATACCCACAGCTGATGCATCAGTGATAAACACGGATTGTACACTAGGGGAGTAAGTTCGAAGAACAGCATCACTTTGAAGAAACTTTAGTAGACTACGTAAGCATGACTCTTGTTCCTCACCCCATTTAAATGAATTGGATGTCAAAATATTAAATAAACAATTTGCACGACAAGAAAAATTAGGAATAAAACGGGAATAGTATTGAAGAGCACCCACTAGTGAACGTAGTTCCGTAAGGTTTTTTGGAGACGGTGCATTTGTCAGTGGAGCTAGTCGTTTCATATCTGGTGTAAAACCATTACCATCAACTAGGTATCCAAGACATTCGAAATTAGATACACAAAATGAACACTTATTTGGATTCACTGTAATATTCTTCTCAATTAAACGACGCAATAAAGCAATAAGTCTCTGGTTATGAACTACCTTATCAGAACCATGGACAATGAGATCACCTTGATAAACTTCAACGCCCTCAAGATCACTAACTACATTATTCATGACTTCCTGAAATATAGCTGGAGAACAACTTAGACCAAATGGAAGGAAATTGTATTTGAACAGACCAAAAGGAGTATTAATTGTCGTCAAAAGAGATGAAGATGGATCTAAAGGGATTTGGAGATAAGCATCTTTTAGGTCAACTTTCGAGAACACTTTAGAACCATGAAGTCGATTTAGAATATCTTCAGCCTCTACCGTCGTGCACGTTTGCTTCAACAAACGGGAATTCAGTGTTAATCTATAATCACCACATATTCTAGGGGTTTTGCCATCCGACTTCAGTGGCGTAACAATAGGAGTACCCCATGCTGAGGACTGGATCGGTTCAATTATGCCTTTCGCTCACAAATCGTTTAATGTTTTATGTACTGCCTCTCGAAGACCATAAGGAATTATTCGTCTTTTAAGAAATACTGGTTCACCCTGTACTTGAAGTTTTATAGGCTGAATCTTCATACCTCCACTGCACTTAGCACACGTGGCTATCAAATCTTTAAGTAAAGCATCATTGTTTTCTTTAGAAACTAGGAAAGACAGCTCCACTTTAAGCCTTTTCAAATTCCTTAAGCCCAATATTGACAGTCCTGTTTCGCTAACTAAAAATTCACAAGGTATGTACGAAGAATTATCATCTCTTATTAGCAACTCACAACATCCTCGTATAGGCAGTCTGTGTCCAGTAATCCCCAATATTGATACCTCACTGGGTCGTACCACAACATTAGGATCTAAAGATTTCAAGTTCTTGAATGAAATAATGGACTCTATACTGCCTGTGTCCACAATAAGGTCATGACATGAACCAAGCGATGTATATAATCGCTTTTGAATATGAGCATTACCTTTCGAAACAGTAGACAAAGATAAATGATCATTAGGAACAGCTGAATCACCGGGATCTAAATTACAAGATTTAGTACTACTTGAGGCAAAATGAATAGTAGCTTTGCATACTGATTGAATGTGTCCTATCTTACCACATCTAAAACATTTAGCATTACGAAATGCACATGAATTACGAGAATGAATTTTTCCACGTGATAAACATTTGCCAAACTTGGTCTCACCTTTGTGATTTCTTTTGTAATCCCTTGTTGATATCTTTCATATTTACACGAGAATAGGAACCACTGTTAAACGAACGCAATTTTGATTGACCCTGAGATTGTATTTCATCATGACGACTAAGCAAAGTATTAGAAATATTCATCGACTGGATATCAAGTTCATTCACTGCCTCGTAGTTAATACACGCAGTTCTAGCATCTTGAAAGGAACAGTTCGGCATTCTTAACAGCTCTCTTTCCAAACCCGGCAAGTTAATTCCTGCAATTAATCGATCTCTCAGTTGCACATGAAGTTGATCACCAAAATTACATTTGGCAGCTTGTTTCTGCAATTCAAGAATGAATTCCTTAACCTTTTGGTCATTTCGACGAGTCATCTTATGAAATTTTGCCCTTTCACGGCATTCAAAACTAGTGCACTTTACATGATTTAATAATAACTCCTTAATAGTTGCATAAGGAAGTGAGATAGGTTTTTCTGGATATACCAAGGTTTTCAATAAGCTGTATGCTTCTTTTCCGATGAATGTCAGGAAATAAGCCACAATTTTATCACCTTTAACATCCTTCTTGGTCATGCTCCAAATTTCAAACCTTTCCAAATAGTCCTCAAAAGCTTCAGAAGTTGAATGAATATCTAACTGTTCCATCGCAGGCTCCATCGCGACGCCAATATGATAATTAGAAGTATTTGAATTATAGTATGAACTAATAATCCCAGGGATAACGCAATTGAATCAAGAAGTACTACACAAGCACCAACGAATGTACTGTATTTAGAATTCGAAATCAAACATTCAACAAGTACAAAGGAGTCATTAGTTCATTCAAACACCACAGAAACATTTTTTGCACATTAGTGTAAATTTACAGTGGATCGATATTCAATTCATGCTCAAGAAAATTTGGTTGTTATCCATATATGGTTTATCCAAAAGTAGTTAAACAGATATATTTTTTATGATGGGATGATTAATGCGGACAGATTTTTAGTGTTTTTTTTAATAAGTCAAATTGAACCAGCATAAGATAGATCTCGCATTACTGTGATTCAGGGACGTTTATAATTGATTCGTATTTAATGATCTGCACGTTTAATTATAATTAATCAGCTAAATAATTAAGAATACAAATGCCCCTGATTCTGACACATCTCAATATTTGAATGAACAAAGTGTATTGATAAGAATGCAGTTTTTAAAAGATGATGGGGTGTTCGCAAGAACAACCAATGACAACTAATAACATAAAACATAATAAATAAATCAATATATTTGTAATATCCCTATGAGTAGAAAAATTAAATGTCCTAACGTTTCGTGACTCAGTATAAGCCACTTTTGAAGAAGTGGAATACTACAAATATATTAATTTATTTATAACAATCTACCCAATGCTCAATTTATTCGAAATTATCAATTCAAACCTTGGTCATAATACCTACAAAACATTCATATCAATAGATGATTTGTAAGCGATTTGGTGTTTCTATTAAAAACATCTCTCATGGAGTTGTATAGCTAATGCTCTTGAATTAAATAAATTAAACCGAGGTAACTATCTTATACAAGCATAAGTGCATGGTTTATGAGTTATATTCACGGTACAATCAAATGGAATGCTAAAAAACTACTGGTCAAGAATATTACAATAACAAAATAATTTTTATTTAATATTCAATAATCTTAGGGCACTGGGTACAAATCAGAAAAATTTAGTAATTATAATCATAAGACAATGATGATATTTCCTTGGAAAGATAAAAATAGTAATGAGCAGAATGAAGAATATGATTCACTTAGAAAGAGAAGATTACAAAGTGTGGTAAGATTATTTAGAGGTTTCATAAATCAAGCCACGAACGAATGGTTTGTACCTCTATTTGACGAACTTGACGTGCTGATGGCGGGTCGTTTGGATCCGGTGACCTATGTGATCCAAGAAAAAGAAAATATATAAGAAGAAAGAGAACAAACTAATATTATCAATAATACTGTAACTACATCTACTAATATAGGATTTGCCCTAAAAATGTTTCATCTCGCCGTGTTAATGGGGTATTGACAAGTTGAACCGATGTACATGCGTACCAGATTCTACGTTGCATTTGACAGACCGATTGATTGGTGTCGAATAAATACCTGATCATATCATGAGTGAATGCAAATTTCAACAGGTATTATGTGACTGAACTATTGTTCAACGGATCGAAGCTGTTAATTCATCTCATTTAGTCAGGTAAATTTTTGTCGAACGATAATTTTTATGTGCAACTTTGTAACACAATCCTATACTTAGCTAAGCAGGTTAATTACAACCTGGTATGGGTTACATGAATGACAGATTATGGTGTTTCTATGAGGTGGCGGAAACCGGTGGCTTGAGTAGCATGACTGGTGAATATGCATACTCTTTTCGCTTTCACACAATACACGATTCCGTTACTCTTGAACTTCATCTTTGATGGTTTACTTACACAGGTAGTTACTGATGAACAGTTTGGCAAGCCTAATTAATTTTCCAACTGACTACTTTCCATTAAACTGGAATAATTACAAAGATATATTGGGAGAGAGAAAATTAATACCTTAAATCAAGATGATGAGCTCCACCATCTAGTACCAAGGAGATGACTTTCTCTGATTGATCAGTTAGAATCTAACAATGATAAAAATGGAAAAATTGATTGGTGCAAAGTTTGACTTCAAACATAGATGAGGGTAATAAATTAAATAAATATTTGTAAATTACAAAAAATTATCGGGTTCCATAGTTTTAGTAATTACATTGATATTGCAGCAAACCATAAAACTACTGTACCCTGAATATAATTCGATAAATTATCTTGTATAACTACATAACATATATCATTCTAATGAATAAATTGTATAAGAACACTGATAACAAATATGGTTGGACTGACCTAATAACCATGGTAACAACTATGTAGTCTATTAGAAAATGTTTACTTGTTAAACTGTTATTAATTAGTAATTATGTTGTTCAACTATCGATCTAATGTCAGTTAATTAGCTTTAATTAAGTACCATTGACTTGAATGATACAATAGATGTGCTCTGAATTAGTGACAACAATATAAGTCGATCTAAACTGACTGGAATGTTTATTTCTTAGTCTTACTATAATAAAATGGTTTGAAGAGTGATTAAGCTAACAAACGAAATACGCGCCACACGAATCTCAATTGATTTGTGTGAGGGCTTTTATACTGCCCGGGTGCCCAAACCGACCAAACAAACGAAACTATCATAGTATTTTACCATAATCTATTGACATAGGCGTTTCCGAATATGGTGTGATTAGTGAGTGCAGATATGACAGCAGTAAGATTTTTTTTCCTTAGTTGTGGAGATTAGAAATATATCAGTCAAAAAATTTTACATTTCACTATGCATTGGGGTATTCAGCAGATAGCTATTAGTTCTACAGAGAATCTAAAACTGCCATTTGTAAATACAAAGACTTAAGAACACAAAACAATTATTTCCATCACCATATTTGAATAATGATTACCATCTAACTGACAGATACAGTCTTTTATGGACAGTACTGTCAAAACTTGTGACTTCAGTAGTAAATTGTGAATTCGCTTAAGAACACATAATAATATTATGCAAAGCATTTACCAAAACATAGGTTTATTTACTGGGTTTTTAATCACATCTTTTGATGCTTCATAGATAATGATGCCATCCCAACTATTTAAATCGAAGTAGGTGAAGCGAGGTATACAGGTGAGACGTGTTAGTTGGAAATTTAGTCCTTTAACCATAAAAATATATCACTTCACATTTGTTTATAACAGTTAAATGATTAACATTTTATATTTACCCTAAACATATTAGATGACTTATTAAGCAGTAAATATACCCTGGAAACAGAAGACAAAATATAGTTTTGTGTGGCGCATATATATTTGGTGCCCCCTTGTACCAATGTGTATGAGTTCAAATAAATAAATAAGAAGAGGATTTATAGCTTAAAAATATGATTTGCTGGTCATGTCATCGATAAGAACAATGAAAGCTTCACAACTAGACCACTATCCAACTCAGAGAATGCAACTTCAAAAATAGTTAACTTTTACTTATCACTCTCGGTGGTATATAGATACCCATTGCTGAGGAATCCCATACTTGGATGAAACCATTGTCTAAAGCTTATCAGTTTTATGTGGTCATCTAACCTAGGTCCTTTCGCGATCCTAATTACAAAACATGAACTCCAACAAAAAGATACAACACGCTCACCAAAATTAAAAGAACAATTATCCATAATTTTATATTAATTATATAAATAAAACACGGGGTCATATAAAACACGTCTGATTCATAGGAAAATCTATCCATAAATTAGAATTAGTGGGAAAAAAAAAGTAGATCACACATACTACTTACTCCACCACCCATCCATGGATCCAAATTCCCATTTGAAAATATGATATTGCTTGAAGTTTTCCAAACTGAAAATATAGTTGTATTTCTTAGAAGGAAGTGATTACAATATGTTTTAACGGTTAAGATGAAAAGAGTTAGAATAATGGGATAAGAAACGTAACAATCTAGGCTAAATGATTCACATTATACACTAGCATTAAACAGAGAACCACCGCAAATTGCTGAACAGCGATTAGGCAGCCGGTTGATTCTAATCTACGATTCCTTAGTGGCGTATGCGTACCACCATCCAACACGAAGATATTCAACCACAGAGTAGAAATTCAATGACTCATTATTTTTTAACTATTAATGAAATATAAAAATGCAGGTTCAGATTTATTGTAGCATTGTACATAGGTATTTCAGAAGAGTCCATCACTGGGACTAAACAACTATTTTGTGTCTTTTTTAATAAATCAATACTAGTCATTATCAGTCAGTGTGCGATGAAAAACACTGTCAAATTGAACAAATTTTCATAAACCACCTAACTTAAAGAGGCTATATTATTCCATGCACAATATAAAAGACTGTTATCAGGACGATAAAAATAGTTGACAAAATAAGCTGTGACCTTCAGGCTAAAGCAATTAATTTGACTTAATACTAAACGCTAAAGTGAAATCGATTAATTTTCATAGTTTACATCACGAACCGACATTAGTTAGACAAGTATCAAAATCCACGAAGCACTGGACAGTGAGTGTTAACGACCCATGATCTTCAAGTCTCGAAAGCGAACGCTTGACTTTAATCAAATCTTGATACTAAGCAACCACCTCCCAATATCACTGGTGGATAACTGACTTACACACAACATGGCTGAACTCCACTGATCACAGATTTCCAATAGAATTCCGGGAGTTATCTGTCGAAATTAGTCACTGCTAAGGACACGGAGTGGCACTTCAGGGTCTTGCATTTGAAACCCAGTTAGGTAATGAATACTACCCAGTGCTCTATTTGTTTCCGGTGATTATCTAAGGTCACTTAGTCATGTAAACCATAAGAAACTTTAGTTAGAAAGAAAAACATAAACAAGAGAAGGAAAGGATTGTTCATGATGAAAATACTAATGAATTTTCCATGATATTAGTAATAAACATAAATAAGTGTTGACAGTGCTGACAAGATACGTATAAGGATTTACAAAAAAAACCCACATAAACAGCTACTCTTATTCATGGACAAATATAATTTGTTGGAAAACAAAAATCGAGATTCTGATAAGTCTTGAGATTTTGAACGCTATACTCGATTCCTAAGCTATTCTTGAAGAACCCCAAGCTAGAAATATACAGCGACCTGAACACGAGAGAGAAGGCGCAAAGTATGCGAAAAGTACTTTACTTCAAGGTTCGTTTTTGTACAGAAAAACACGGGTATTTATAGATGTTAACATTTGTTAAATCAACATCATATCTTGGCCAATCCGCTAAAAGACATATTATGCTACTGACCAATAGTAGCACGCCACGTTGGCATTCTAGAAAGCTCCATCGTGCTCTGATTGGCTGAGACTCTTCGGCTCCTTCAGGGCCTCCGGAGGCTCTGTCGCAGTTCTCGGAAAACCGACTTAACACCTCCCCCGAATAAGACTTCTTTGTGGGATCTACTTGTAGCTTGACATCTGGGTTGCGGTGGCGTCTCATTATTCTTGTCGTATTCCTTGTCCGAGGCTTCTTTTCAGTCTCTTTGGGCATATGTAACGTTGGTGTGTCCAAGATTAATTCTAACGGGGAATTCGGCCGGTTATTTTTAGCCTGTAACGTTCTTTTGTCCTTATGGATTTGATTCGTATGTCGTATACATGTTCCAAAAGCTCCTCGGACTCTGTACAGAACTTTTCCCAATTTTTGTACAACTTTTCCCGGCTCCCATCGGTTCTTCCCTATGTAGGATTTAATGAAAACTTCATCGCCAACATTAAAGTTCCGCATATTATGATTTTGATTGTGCCTGTACGCTAATTTGGATGGCAACATGGAGTTGAAAACGGTACGAATACGCCTTCCGAACATAGCTTCGGCAGGAGACTTACCATCTGGAACATTTGGATTCGGATTGGTTCTGTAGGATGTTAAAAATTTTGTAATTACCTGTCCAGTTGTCCCTTCGCCTCCCCCTTTCAGTAATGCTCGTTTAAAGGTGTCCACAAAGCGTTCTGCTTGTCCGTTCGATTGTGGATGATAGGGCGGAGAACGAAGATGAGTTATTCCATTTGCGCTACAGAAATACTTAAACGACTCTGCAATGAATTGCGAGCCATTATCAGTTACTAAGGTCTCTGGAACTCCGAAGCAGCTAAACAAGGTAGACAACTTGTGGGTTGTTTCTGACGCTGTACAATTTGGCATGATATATACTTCTGGCCACTTAGTAAATGCGTCTACGATAATTAGAAACATTTTTCCTTGGATTGGACCAGCAAAATCTGCGTGAAGTCTTACCCAGGGTCCTGCAGGCGTTGGCCAGTACTGAGGTTCGCATTTCGAAGGATTTTTAGCAGCCTGAATGCATGATGGACAGTTACGGCATTTATTCTCGATATCTTTATCCATTGACGGCCAATAAGCATAACTACGAGCCAACGATTTCATTTTGTTGATTCCAGGATGGCCACTGTGAAACTGCTTGAGAACATTGTGACGTAATAACTTCGGAATAACAATCCGATCACCGAACATAATACACGAGTCAACAACCATAAGTGAGTCCCGTCGACGAAAATATTGCAAAAGTTCTCCATCAAGGCGATTGTTTGGCCATTTGGTCGAGAGATAATGTTTAACTGTGCTCAATGTCTTATCACTCTCAGTAATCTTCTTGATAGTTTCAAAGGTTACAGGGAGTCCATTGATTGCGTCGTCCAATACGCGATGAACTTCTCTCTCAGGTTTTATATTTGCTACAACGGTTTCCTCTGGGGTTTTTGATTGGGAGCTTATTAATCTTGACAACGCGTCAGCTTGCCCGAAGGCGGTAGTTGACTGATACTTGATCTTGACCAGTCCCAAGAACGATCGTAGGGTAGGAATATCCTTAGGTCTAGGCATTGTTCTCACGGCTTCAATGTTCTCTGGATCTGGTCGTCTTCCGTCTTTATCTATTATGAACCCCAGGTATCGTACTTGCTGCATGTAGAAGTCACACTTCTCCGCTCGGAGGCGAAAACCATAATCGGCTACACGTTCTAGTACCTGGTCCAGTTTCTTCTGCAGGTCCATTTTGTCGGCTGCCATAATTATGTCGTCTAAATAAGCTGCTGCCCCTGGAATACCTTGTAGCATGGTATCCATAATTTGCTGGAAAATAGAGGGCGCCGTCTTCACTCCAAACGGTAGGCGGTTATATCGAAACAGACCTTTGTGTGTGTTGATCGTCAGGAGATCTTTGCTTTCATCAGATACCGGAATTTGTAGGTACGCGTCTGATAAGTCCAATTTCGCAAAATATCTGCCACCATTCAGCTTAGCGAAAAGATCTTCCGGTAAGGGTAAAGGATACTGGTGAGACTCTAGAGCTTCATTTAATCCGGTAGAGTAGTCTGCACATAGACGGACGCTTCCATTCGACTTCTTGACCACCACTATCGGTGCAGCCCAGTTTGAGAAGTTCACAGGTTCGATAACACCCATTTCCTGAAGCCGTTGTAATTCTTGTTCAACTATTGGAAAGGCAGCATAAGGTACAGGTCTTTTAGGTCGAAAAACGGGAGTAGCTGCAGGTTTTAGGGTTAACAGCGCTTTGGCCTTCGTACATTCTCCCAATCCTTCTTTAAACACGTTGTGGTGTCTTTGTAGCACAGCATTTTTCTGGTTCCACTGTAGGGTGTTTTCAGCTCTGATTCGTCTGCAAATGCTGTTAATAGAATGGTCTGCTAGTTTAAGTGTCTCTATAAGACCTAACCCCAGTAAGTCTAATGCTGGCTTCTTTGTAAGGTATACAGTTGCATTCGTCGTTGCAGTACCTTTAGAAACAGTGCAGGGCACTTCTCCCACAATATTTAACTTCCCCCCAGATGCACTGCGTGCCAGTTGTGATGTTGGGAGAATTGTGGGTCTCCCAATGTTTCTCCAGGTTTCTGGGCTGATTAAGGTGATATCAGAGGCTGTATCAAGCTGAAGGCGAATACGGTGTTTATTGATATCCAAGGTTACATACTTTCTTTGGCGGCCATTTCGTGCTTGATTATGTGATACCAATATTCTTTTTGTTAGTGCTCCTGACCTGTGTTTCTTGAAGTAAGATTTTGCAGAATATCGTTTGTAGTTTCTTTTCCTGCAGCTGGTTTCTTTATGACCCTTCCGATGGCACTTACTGCAACAATGTTCTTTATACGGGCAGAACCTCTTATAGTGCCAACCTCCACATGCCCAGCATGGAGATGATGGTTTGTTTTTGTCTTCACGATAATTCTGCGTGCTGGAACCTTGAGAGAATTTTCTCTCGACTGCATGGATATGATGGAACCGGTCACCGTTCTCTACCATCACAGTATCATGCTTTAAATTCACTAACCTTTGACATTCGGTAGCTGCTTCTTGCAGGGTCATGTTAGGACAATGTTCAAGCTTCCTTAGGATTCTTGTTCGGATGTCAGCATCCTCGGGTGATTGCAGGCTACACACAAACACTAGACATTTAAACTGGTCTTCACTCATAGAAGACAATTTGAATCTCTCATATTCTCGGTTCACTATTCCTGCATGTTTCACCTAGTCATCTCCCGGTTCTTTTGTTATCTTCAAGCATTGATAACGGATGTTGAATAGAGATGATTGTTCTCCAAAGATTTGAGACAAGGTTTTAACTGTTTCATCAAAACTAAAGTCTCGTGGATTCTTCGGAAGAATGAAGTTGCTATAGCGTTCATGTTCCACAGTCCCAAGTTTTCTTAAAAGTATTCTGACTTTTGAAGCGTCATCAAGTTTGCAGAGATCAATATAGAATAAATCTTCATGCTTCTTAAACCAGGAATCAAATGTTACACCTGCTGCACCATCAAAATTAAATTCATGTATGACATTTATGATTGAATCAGTATGAGATATTTGTGATTCATTAGAAGCAGGGTTTTGTTGGGACAGGCACAATTTCTGCATCAAAGCTTCCATTATTCTGATTTGCGATTGTTCAAACCTCTTTTCTTGACGCACCATATAAGCTTCTAGCTGCTCCAACGAAATATTCATTGTAGTCATCCCGTCGCCACTGATAAGTCTTGAGATTTTGAACGCTATACTCGATTCCTAAGCTATTCTTGAAGACCCCCAAGCTAGAACTATACAGCGACCTGAACACGAGAGAGAAGGCGCAAAGTATGCGAAAAGTACTTTACTTCAAGGTTCGTTTTTGTACAGAAAAACACGGGTATTTATAGATGTTAACATTTGTTAAATCAACATCATATCTTGGCCAATCCGCTAAAAGACATATTATGCTACTGACCAATAGTAGCACGCCACGTTGGCATTCTAGAAAGCTCCATCGTGCTCTGATTGGCTGAGACTCTTCGGCTCCTTCAGGGCCTCCGGAGGCTCTGTCGCATTTCTCGGAAAAACGACTTAACAGATTCAACAATTCAATTTCATACACATAGTTCCCTTTATCATTTTGAAAAGAGCAAGAACAAACATTCTAGTAGAATAGCATGAATTCATTTTTATTTCGTTGGTTCTCGTCAGCTGCTTACAACCTATGATATTTAAAATTATAATTACATAATGGGTTTAAATTACTTACATGAAAAAGTTTGATTTAAACCCATTATGTAATTATAATTTTAAATATCACAGGTTGTAAGCAGCTGACGAGAACCAACGAAATAAAAATGAATTCATGCTATTCTGCTAGAATGTTTGTTCTTGCTCTTTTCAAAATGATAAAGGGAACTATGTGTATGAAATTTCTCAAAAAACGCCTCCCTGAACAATTATTTAGGTCACTGAACCATTTTGTGACAGTACGCTGCAGAATATCAAGAGTCAAGTTTTATGGAGAATGTCTCACGTCAGGCTGTTTCCCACGCCTGTTTGTAAGATCTTTGCGTTCTTGTAAACTTCCACCATCGTTCAAAAACTTAAGACGCATCACTAAATCTCACATTGAGTCAACAAAATTACTCATTACGCAACTAAGGGATGAGGCCAGTGCTTTTGGTAAAGCGGTTAACGATTTAAACATCGTATGTCGGATAAAATTTATGAACTTTATTCGTAATCTTCAAATCAAGGTTTGCAAGGAGTTCCATAAATCTCTATCGAAAACTCTGATAAGAGAACATTTATGTTTAGGGTTTCCGGAAAACCCTTCGAAGTTTATCTACAACTTATCAAATATGAAGCTTAATAATATAGAAACAGAAGCCTTATCACTGGGACTAAAATTTCATATACCAAAAACAAATACTGACAGGATTGATACAGAAGCTCAATTCGAAAATCTGTTTGACCAGTTAAAAGATTTGCAGCCAATGAATGAGGAAAAGAAAGGATGGTTCAAATCAAAGTTAGTTGATATTGCTAACCAATACTTCGTGTCATCGACACCAAAGTCGAATCTTCTATCCAAAGAACATCTGACAGCCCTAAGAAACATCAAACAAAATAATGAGGTGATGATTTTACGACCGGATAAAGGCTCAGGTGTCGTCCTAATGAATACAGCTGATTATGTCGCTAAGATGAAGCCAATCCTAGACGATCAACTGAGATTCAAGGTAGATAAATCCTAAAAAGATCTAACTGATTCAACAGAAAAACGAATCACAGGCATACTTAGAGAACTTCTAAAAAGGAAAATGATTGGTAATTTTACTTATAATGATCTAAAACCACGTGGCTCACGCCTACCTCATATGTATGGTTTACCAAAAGTTCACAAACACGATATTCCCCTTAGACCTATCCTATCAATGATCAACTCACCGTATCACAAAGTTGCACGCTGGCTAGCAGAAAAACCAGTACCGGTCCGTCGGAGATTAGCAACATATACGTTAAAAGATTCATCCCAGTTTGCTGATAGACTGAATCGTACGAATGTTGCCAATAAGTCCATGGTTTCTTTTGATGTAACATCCTTGTTCACCAATATACCACTTCTTGAAACTATTGATATAATTTGTCAGAACTATGATCTCCTACCTTTACCAGCCCCGGAATTCCAAAAACTACTATTAATGTGCACAACAGACGTTCAATTCCAGTTTAATAACACCATGTATCGTCAAATCGATGGCGTAGCAATGGGAAGTCCATTAGGCCCAATTCTGGCAGATATTTTTATGGAGTATCTTGAATACATGGTGCTTAAACAGGCGATTAGCGAAACGACGGAATATTCCAGATATGTTGATGACACGTTTATTGTCTGTAACAATAAACAGCATGCAATCCGCTTGCTAAAACTCTTCAATAACGCTCATCCTAACATACAATTTACTATGGAACACGAACAGAATGACACGTTCCACTTTCTTGATGTTGCTATAAAACGTAGGAGAGATGGGACAGTCCAACGTTCACTTTATCGAAAAAGTACTTGGAACGGCCTTTACCTGAATTTCAATAGTTTTTGTCCACTCAGTTACAAGAAGGCATTAGTTAAAACACTATTTCATAGGGCAGAAAGGATATGTACCACTGACAAACTGGAAGAAGAATTGATGAACGTGGAAAAATGCCTAAGAGACAACTTTTACCCACAAAAGTTTATTGACAAATATAAAAAGCGTAAAGAAAACAATACTGAAGTAATTACGGTTAATAAGAAACCAATAACTATAAATCTTAAATTCAAAGGTGATGATGTTGCAAACACAATAAACAGGAGACTGAATACTACGCTAGCCAGAACTTATCCGGCGGCCAAACTTCTAATTCTGTATAAAACAACATGTTCAATAACTCAATCAAAGGTTGATAAGCATCCTTTTCATGTTACCGCCAATTGTATTTATAAATTTACGTGTACCTGCCAAAGCAGCTACATCGGCCGAACAGAAAGGAGAGCATATCTCGGATTTTTTGAACATGTTCCAAAAAGCCTCAGAACAAGAGAAAGAAAGACTTTAAATAGTGCAATCACCAAACATCTCCTTGATACAGGACATCAGGTCGATACCCTACAATCGTTCAAGGTGATTAGTAAGCAGCCAAACTCCAGTCTTCTGAAGTTTGCTGAAGCAGTTGCTATCAGACGCCAAAAACCTGATTTATGTGTTCAAAAGGAGATGGTTATTAATCTTTCCTTGCCTTGGTGACTAATATTCCTTCGCTGTATCTCAATATATTTTTTAAATATTTTTTCGTTTTCTTTGAACTCTTTCTTGCACTTATCACATCATTGAGTTTTATTCCAACTATCTTCCAAAAAAATTTTTTAATCTTATTTTCATCAACTGAACTCTACTCAATTTTTTTTCCTATCAATGTTTACTTGTTTCTAGCCCTTTGAACCGTTGTCACAATGTTCTTTTATATAAGGTATATATTTACAATATTCAGTCTAATAAATTTATTTACGCCCTCGCTATACTATACGAATATGCCTTCAATATAACTTCCAATCAAACTTTTTCATGTAAGTAATTTAAACCCATTATGTAATTATAATTTTAAATATCACAGGTTGTAAGCAGCTGACGAGAACCAACGAAATAAAAATGAATTCATGCTATTCTACTAGAATGTTTGTTCTTGCTCTTTTCAAAATTCAATTTTTTTACTTTGGATATGTAACTATGTATCGTTTAAACAAAGTTTATTCGATATTTTCCATTTATCACTCGATATTCTGAGATTAAGGGTGGTAAAAAATGGGGAATCAATTAGTTTGACCATTGTAACATATTTTCATGTTATTTTCCATGGGTCTTTTACTTATTCTGTGAAAATCCGAAGACTAGTGTACATTTATAGATTGACCATTATTGAATACATACTCAAAATTTAAACAATACTATGTCCTCTGTACCAAATAAAACTCTATTTGTGCTGTTCCATAATGGTGAAATCGGTTAGAATTTCAAATATTTACATTCTTTGCTGAATATTTTTTTTATAGAATGTGACAGGCTTTATCATTCCCAATATTGCACCAATACTAACAACCACACAGATGATCCTTATTAAGATTATACAGAAAAAAGAAACACTTGACTGTTCATGGATGTAAAAATGTGTGCACTGGAGATTATCGATTAGACGATAGACAACTTAACCAGTAAAAATATAAGATAAAACTTCCATTGAATTCAAGATTATCAGATTAAATGATTGAATTAAACTGTAAAAGATTCATTTGATGTTTAAGATATTTGAAATTTGTAACTAATTATTTACTTAGTGAATAGAAAAAATATCTTGTTGATAAAAATCTTTTTTGGAAATATACAGTAATAAAAAAACAAATTAAGCGAACAACCATAACAAAAACAACAGTGTAACATACTATTATCACCATAAAATGTTGACAATTGATTAAACGCTGGTGTAACACCCCACTTTCGTTGACAATAACTTGTTACTTGTTGTTTTGTTAGAGGTAAAGAGGTGAACATATCATTTGTGGTACTATCCGAGTCATCGTGTAAATTCATTTCAGTACAACTCTAGAATGAGAAAGCAATTACAAAAGAGTAATTTTTGATGATGAACAAAACGAAACGGTTAGTATAGATAATTTAGTGTAAAAAAAATAATTTGATAATCAAATTAGTTGTACACTAAGACTATGCGTTTGATAAGTCAGACAGTCCGAAGCAACACAGAACCTAGTGCATACTCGTATCTACCCGAATTGCAACACTGCATCAAAACAACGAAGTGAAATCAACAAGATGAGTTACTTACTTACGCCTGTTACTCCAAATGGAGCATAAGCCGTCGACCAGCATTCTACAACCCACTCTATCCTGGGCCTTTTTTTCTAGTTCATTTTCTCATGTCTATCTCCATTTCCCGACGTAATGTGTTCTTTGGTCTTCCTCTTTCCCTTTGGTCTTGAAGATTCCATGTCAAGGCTTGTCTTTTGATGCAGTTCGGTGCTTTCCTCAATGTGTGTTCTATTCACTTCCACAGTAGGTTGTTGTTCATAGTGTCTGGCCAACGGATCCGAAGTATTTTGCGTAGACAACTGTTAATAAAACGTATCTTCTGGATAATGGCTTTCGTGGTTTTCCAGGTTTCCGCCCCATACAGTAGAACTGTCTTCACATTTGTTTTGAAAATTCTGATTTTGGTGTTGGTTGCCAATTGTTTTGAGTTCCAGATGTTCTTCAGTTGTAAATATGCTGATCTTGCTTTTCCGATCCGCGCCTTCACATCTGCATCAGATCCACCGTGTTCATCGATGATGCAGCCCAAATATGTAAAGGTTTTTACATTTTCCAAATCTTCTCCGTCAATTGTGATTGGATTAGTGCATGCTGTGTTGTATCGGAGAATCTTACTTTTCCCTTTGTATATATTGAGACCTATTGCTGCTGAGGCTGCTGCTACACTGGTTGTCTTCTCCTGCATTTGTTGTTGTGTGTACGATAGAAGAGCCAGATCATCTGCGAAGTCTAGATCGTCCAGCTGCATCCTAGATGTCCACTGTATCCCGTGCTTCCCTTCAGATGTTGACGTCTTCATGATCCAGTCGATCACCAGGAGAAAGAGAAAGGGTGAGAGTAAGCATCCTTTCCTAACACAGGTCTTTACTTCGAACGACTTTGTCAACTGTCCTCCATGCACGATTTTGCAGTTTAATCCATCATAGGAATTCCGTATGATATTGACTATGTTCTCAGGTACGCCGTAGTGTCGCAGAAGCTTCCATAATGTTGTTCTGTCCACGCTGTCAAATGCTTTCCCGTAGTCAATGAAGTTGATGTAGAGCGATGAATTTCATTCAATTGATTGTTCCACAATGATCCGTAGAGTTGCGATTTCGTCTGTACACGATCTATCCTTACGGAATCCTGCCTGTTGGTCGCGAAGTTGGGCGTCTACGGAGTCCTTCATCCTGTTTAACAATACTCTGTTGAAGACTTTTCCTGGTATTGAGAAAAGAGTGATGCCCCTGTAGTTATCACAACTGCTGAGATCGCCTTTATTCGGTATTTTGACCAGAAGTCGTTCTTTCCAGTCTTTTGGAACTTTGGAACTAGAATAATATTAGTTGTAGCGTAGTGAATGAACCCTTGGTGGGGAAAACCATTTTATTGTTTAATGCGAAATCATGCAGTGGTTTAGTAAATTATGAAAATCACATCATATGCATATCTTCTTTGCGTTGTCCATTATTCTTCTAATTCTGTTGTTACTTCAATTGCTCTTTGATTTCCTTTCTGTTCTGTTTATTGCAATTTTCTGGTACCATGCATTACACTTTCGATTGGTGCCACATACCATTTGTATCTGTCAACACAAGTAGCATACACCACACTCGTCCCTCGTTTGAACCGTCGCTCCTGCGGTTGTTATGCTCACTGTACCACGCTCTTCATCGAAGCACCGAGTCCTCCGGCGCGCTAACCTCCGTAGTTCTGTCAACCTGCCGGACCATCTAAATCCACCCAGCAGCCGGACGTCCTACTTCTCCTCTGTTGACAGCAACTGATAGACCTAATGCTACTCCGCTAGAACGTTCCAATCGACGCCCAATAGTAGTAGTAGTAATAGTAGTAGTATACACGGTAGTAAATAAGTTTAGGAACAGAGATTTGTGATCAATGAATTTGTACAATAAAAGGTATAGCATAATTGTGAAACTCAGTATCTAAAGGGAGATAAAGAGTGGTTGCATCAATGCCACAGTGACAGATTTTGAGACATGTCAACCGACATTTTCAAGCATTAGTTACCATAATCACGCAGGTTCCAACTAGGTAGTCTGCACCTAGATAAACAATAATCTTGTACAAATCCATGTTCAAAGACTAAAGCTACAATGAATATTCAAAGGCTAATTATATGTTATACATTTTTGTAGAAAAGACCACAGCATCTTGCAAATCTGCCTCTCGACTTACAAATCTTCACCACATACCTTTGATTTACTGGTGATTATTATTTGCCAACATTAATAGCCTGAAAGAGAAACTATTTGACAGATAGGATTATGGGATTATAATCGTGAAATTCAAACCGAGCTCTCTTCTAAAGAAAAAACAGAGATTTTATTCTGCAGATTGAAGATTTTTTAATGTCCCATTTCAAATGAAAATCGTCATATTACTGAAATGTGTTTGTGAGAAGTAAAACAGTCATGTACTTAATAACAAGGAAAATTGTGCTATGTTTAATAGCAGTTCATCTTGATTAATAAGTGAACTTATTAGGATAGCTTTAAGTCTTAGTAAAAAGGTAAATTTCACATTACCAACTCACTACAAGTGATTTAAAATATCTAAAACCCTTCGCTCTACATTGAGATCGAGCTCGTTACTTAGCCAAAAGATAAATTATTCAAAGATTTTCACAATAACAAATCACATCCTAAAGCTGATGTATCCATACTTCATGGATTAAATTTAATAAGGAAATAATTACTGACCTGAAAATCCCAAGCAAGTGAATCACTGCCTAGACCACATCCTGTTATATCAGCGCACTCAATAAACTGTGTTTTATAGTCGAAACACGAGAGAGCTAAAATTTAATTTTTTTAAAACAAAACATACTTTTATTATCATCAGGGTAAATTAAATTCTATATTGGGAGCTAAGCGATTGATAGCAGTTTTTCGACTTTCTGGATTCTTAAACCCTTATTTTCGCATACAAATTAACAGAAAGGTGCTCACTTAGAAATAAAGCATTTTACATAGTATAAACCGTATTTATATACCATTTTAACTGCATTCAAGCTTCTGAGATATATTTAGGACTATGATTCTGAATATTTCGAGGAAAATTTAAATCAGCAATTTTTCGCAGTCTCAGCTAAAAGCTTCTTTTTTGCTTAACAATCAATATTGTATTGTTTATCATTTAAAAAATAGTTGATTGAATTGCTTAACTATTTACCTAAGCTGTATGTTTACAATTTGTTGTACATTTTAGCAAGATAATTGCAATAAAAGTATCATTAACAAATTATTTGACCATTATTAGCTTTAGTGGTGGAAAAGAAAACTTGTGACTTTTGAACAGTATATGGTTCGGTTAAATGAGATAGAATGTGTACATTAGTCGTATAAACTATAGATAAGTTATAAAACACAGCTTATATCCCATTTCGAAAACCATCGGAGTAATGTGAGTATAATTATAAAAAGTGACATCTTTAAATTTATATTTTTCTGTACGTTTTATTGTTATAATAATATTTTCATCTTCCCCATAACTCTTGATACCGTTTGTGAAAATACTAAGGTGGTATACTGTTAGCTGAACATAGACTGGATTAAAGCATGCTCAATGCACGATTGAGTTGGTGCACGCTGATTAGCTAATTCTTATCCAATCAGCGCCAGTCGATACATGGAGAATACTCTAGAAATCTTCCCATGTAAAAACTATAGATATACTAACGTTTTTTCTATTGTGCTTCTTACTTCCATCTAACCTTGTTATTTGGAATATAATCTCTTTCCTGTTTAACTGTGTTCTGATTTGGGGACTTGTCGAATGAATTGGTGTCCGAGAATACTAAGCAATAGGAATTGCTGGGTTGTAATAAGAGAGAATTATAACATATACTTAATGTCTTATTAAGAAACTGGAAACATTTCTCCTGACAATTTGAATGATTCTGTGTCTGTCTTGCTAAATTCTATGGATTAATTACAATTTCATAAAACTAGACAAAACAAAAATCCTCCTGAAAACTGATGTTGTAGTGATTAGGCCGATCATAATTGATATTTCATTACTTTTTCCTCATACCGTAGTTTCGCATTGTATTCTCAAAAGTCACTAAAGAATAATACTCCCCAATTCTTTAACACCAAGTTCATCGGGGTCAATTTTTGTTCTGTCCCCAAGTCTAAATCGTTTAACTCTGACCAGTGGTTTGCATGGCTTGAAAGCTACTTCTATGCAGAAGAAATTGCACAACAGATGTCTAATATATTATTGAGACGGCTTTGAAGTAACCTACACTATGTACACAAAACAATAATATAGTTGTAAGGATTAATAAAAAGTTTAACTAGACTGAAACTTAGACAGCAGATATTTCTCTCAACTACAACTGCACAAATAACCAAAGATAGATATCAGGTATTGATGTTTGAAGGCAAAGGTATAAATACTGAACGGTTGATACTGTACTAATGCCTTCGTCAGAAAGTCCATGGATCTTGTGTGTTGAAGGAGTTAAGTCTGATGACAAGCAAGTAAGAACGTATTCACGTGGAATATCCTAAAAAGTACAATAAAAAGCAATGGAATATGGTAAACATACATTGTGAACTGTTGTAGAAAACTCCAACAGCCTCACGAAGGGTTGGAATGAGATCAGTGACTGCTAACGCAATTTTGCACGAGACATTTACAGGATTAGCAGGTAGACTTGCCATAAATGATGCCTTGTAAGGATAATCTAACATAGCCATCATAACAAATGCATTGCGAGCCCATTTCAGTACCCAGTAAAATTCGAAATCATTTTGGATAGGTTTACACAACCGTAGGTCATTAGAGAGTTGTTTGTAACCTGTAAAATGACATTTTTTTAAATACTTTAAACAAGAGTTAAGCATGGATATGTATCTCAAAATCTATGGTTGTTTATACAACTTTATCTAATCAATCAAAGACTAATATACCCGGCGAAAAATCCGAAAATAGAATTGGATAGCGAAAATCACGAAACTTAGTGCAATAATGCCACACCTTGAGACAGTGAGCAAAACTAACAGGAAAGATAGATAGATAGCATTAATAGGTGAGTGTATAATACATACAGAAATATATGGAATGAACTTGATTTACCAAAAAAATATTTAAGGGTTTATTCCCATGAGTAAAATAATAAAAGCCAGTATCATCATTAAATAGCTGTAGACAACTGTGGCAAGGAGTGAATATTAACAAATGCCCACCAAACACTTTTTAGGGGCACTTCATAAATATTGACATCAGTAAACAATTTTGGAAAGATAAAACTGGCATATTTGAAAACTTCACTTAACCTTAACTTCTAGAGATGAGCAAGAACTCTTGAACCACTTTCCGGTTCATTCAATTTAGTCTTAACTAAATCTTCCTCCTTACCACACCACGCACACATAATTACTTTGAATTTTAGACGGAAGTCGAAATTAGTGATTGACTTTGGAACTGTATTCACGTTACTTATAAGTTGTAACCTGTATTTACGTATTTAGATCTACATTGATTTATTCGAAAGCCAACTGCGTCTTTACAAATTGAATACAAATCAAAGAACATCACTGTAAAAAAAAAATCGAATGCAAAGACCTAAACAAAATTATACAATAAAATTTTGTGCCAATATTTTACTGAACAAACATTATAAGTTCCAGCAAATATTCATTATTAGTGGTGTTACATGGAAAAATAACTCAATCCGAACACAGTTGAATAACTAAAATGTTTGTGAAAACTGATAGTTAAACCTTTTACAGCCTACCGATATCAGGTTTCTGAGATAGCTGAACAGCTAAATTAAAGGCGTTTTTAATTTTCTCTGAACATTTTGGATCAGCATCATGGTAGTCCTAAATAATAAAACTACTCATCAAGAACAAAAGTACTTACCTTAGTGACACGTTCAAAAAAGTCGTGAAAATTCCCCTCACCTGCAACCCATCTAACTGGTGCACTTGCAGCTAAAGCACCTTTGATTATATGGGGATATTTAGCTCTCATATACGCTGCAAGCATGCCTCCATAGCTGTGATGCAAATTAAACATGAAATACGAAACTAACCTTCCACCAAATGCAACAACAAGGGATCTACTTATGTTGAATTTACTTTTGATACCTTCAATTAAGTAAGCATAATCTGCTAACGCTTGGTCAACTGAAAGATATTGAATATATGGCTGCTGGAAGCTTTTATCAAATGGGAGACTTTTCCCATAGTATCTCTGATTCGAATAACTAGTTACTGAATATATTTAATACATACATGTTCAGCAAACAGGATGAAAGCATTAAAACTAGGTGCTAATTCGAATATTAGCCCCGTATTGTTCCAAAACCCATCAATTCCTCCTTCATTTCCACAATAAAAGAAGATGGGTCCATTTGGTTTGAACCATTTATCTATTTTTGAAAGAAGCAATCAAAATATGTAAATACCTTACCTTCATACAGATAACGCTGTTTGAAAGTCAAGTTTCTTGCTTGAAAATTATAGTGATCCAAAGTCTGATCAAAATAGTTTTCTTTTGGTGGCCACGGTATAGATGATGATGAGACATATAAAGTGCATACAAACAGGAATTGCAAAACAGGGTTTTGATGCACCATGAACCCAAGAGCTATAAATGATGAATGTATGGTATGATGAATTTCCAGCAACTAGCACATCAAGCAGTCCATTTTAAAGACTAAGGTTAACAACACAGGGATTAATTTAATCTAATAAAATTGAATTTATAGACAAAAACCTACTACATTCCTATCATCGTTGGTCTTATAAATGATAAAACGTTAACCATATATGTAGAAAACAACAGAAATCTCGAAACCTCCAATGGTCGTCTGAATATCAGTGAACAACAGAAATGGCTCAAATGGTTCAAATGGTTGCGGACGGAATAGAAGAAGCTTTCGCTTAACAGGCTTCCGTGTCTAGTAGCAGTGGATCACCAATACCGCCAGGCAAGAACCTAGGCAAATTATTGTGTCGAAAACTTATAGAAAGATTCAGTAAATAATCCATAAGACCCGGTACCCGTAACACATTATTTGTTTATCCATAGATTTCCTTTACTATAGGTATCATTATCAAGATTTGACTTGATAATTCCGAATAAATTGAGCACTGGGTAGATTGTTATAAATAAATAATATATTTGTAATATCCAAATGAGTAGAAAAATTAGATTTTCTACTCATTGGGATATTACAAATATATGATTTCCTTTACTATGTTTAACTCGTTACTTGAATGCCAGTAACAGCTTATGTTGTTGAGAGGTTCAGCTTTCAACCACTAAGTCGAAGGTCTAACTACTTCATCATCTACGTTGGTGATATTAGCCCTCACACTTGGTGTGGCTCATACCCAGGTATCTGGTAAACGAGTTAGTTTTCTTTCGTCCCCAATCCATCTGATTTCCTAAAGCTCTATTTATTTACTTGTAATCTAGGGGGCGAAACTAAACAAAAGGGGAAGGCTAGGAAGCCATGGTGAGCCACCTCCGATGACAGACTATTATGGGCACCCACTCCACCGACAGTATTCAAGTAAACTGCTTTCAGCAGGTCCAAAATAGACTTTTGTGTACTATTTAATTACATAGGATACTACAAAGCCTGTCCAGATTAAATCTGCCTCGACGACCTTGAGTGGCCGGGACCAAAAGGTTCAAATGGTTGTGGACGGAATAGAAGAAGCTTTCGCTTAACGGGATTCCGTGTCTACTAGCAGTGGATCACCAATACCTCCAATCAGGAACCTAGGTATATTAACGATAATAAAGGAGAAAGAAATTGGTAGATCATAGTATTATCCTTAGTCCTTAAGAATAGGCTAAGTTGCCTCTTAAACAATTTAAACCATTTAAACTCTATCCTCCGAGTTGAATGGTGAATTATGATGCCTCATCATGAAAGCCCAGATTCTTCGGAAGTTGCGAAGCCAATGACCCTTCTAATAACCAGAGCAACAATCAATTTAGGTACATAAAATATCTGGATAATGTAGGAGATTGAGAGGATTAGTCATATAGCTGTAGAAATTTATTTATTTATTTATTTATGGCTTTATTCAATATTATATTTTGGTACAATATAGAATTCTCAGCACAAAAAATACTTCAACAAGTTTCTTTTACAGAAAAAAATAGCGGTTAATAAAAAAAATCTGAGAAAAAAACTACAAATTTTCAATTAGAGTCATGTTAAGAATGCAGATGATTGACCAGGTTAACTCTAACAACTTGTTCGTCACAGAGTAAATTTGCTAGGTAAGGTTGTAGCTGTAAATAAATCCCCAAAATCAAATAGCTCTGTAGGTTTTCGACATTGGATGCTGACCACAGTTTTAGTGGACTCATCTAGCTGAAGGCGCTCGGTCAAACATCGGCATCAGATCACGTGTGGGAACGCCGTGCTCAACATCTGCCGCAATCGCTAGCCAGATTAGTGCAAACGATCCTCGATATATTGATAGCTTATCAAATATATCTTCGATCTCCTCACTTCTGTCTTTTGATTTTACTTGGTGGGTGTGCTTTGTATTAGAAGGTGTTACTGGTTAAAGCGTTGTCAAACTCCGAATACCTGTGGCATCTTCATTGGTGAGCCCGACGTGATCTAGCACACCATATTGTAAACTGTGAGTCTGTTCCTTTTTGTGATTTTATATATCATTGTCTTATTTTAATTTCTTTTTCTAACATTGTGATATTTTTTCCCAGTGTTTTTGGGTTCATATATATATTCGCCACTCGTTCACTTTTCGTACGTGATATATTACTATGACTGAACAGACCCCTAAAGTATTTAAGTTAAAGACTGTGTCCCCACCTTCTTTCCAACTTATGCCTTTCTGACCAGACAACATCGAAGCCTGGTTTTGTTACGCAGAAGCCGACTTCTTCGAGCACGGTGTGAACGGTGCGCGTGCACAATTCCTCGCAGTAGTCAAGGCACTACCGCGCGAATTCAACAGGTACGTAACACCTAGTATGTTTACTAGTGATGTTTCTGATCCATACCAAACACTGAAACATGCCATCCTTAAACGCGGAGATCTAACCGATCGAAAAAGGTGAGACCAACTCCTCAACAACATCGACCTGCAACACGGTTCTGCCACAGACATGTTGCAAAGAATGCGAGAAGTCATTGGCCAAAGAACCTTCGATGACGGCCTATTCAAGCAACATTTCTTATCCAAACTTCCTCAACAGGTGCAAGCTGTTTTGGTCTCGTTCCAAAACAACGCCGTAGACGAACTAGCGGCATCTGCCGATCGCATTCTCGAGATCACTAGGTCTCCTAACGCCGAGGATTTTTCACTCAAAGAAAAGCCTCAAACGACCCAGAATGACATAACACAGTTATGTCATACGCTTACGCGCTATCTCAAACTCGGTAACGACCGTAAACGATCACCTACCTCGCGGAGAAGCACATCACGCAGGCGATCTGTATCTAGACCTCGAGAGACGGATAATCCTGATTGGTGCTGGTACCATAACCAGTACGGAAAGTCTGCCAGAAATTGCAGAAAACCCTGCAATTTCCCCAACGCGAAATCCGTCGACGCGAAGAACGTTTCGGGAAACTTCCAAGCCGGCACGCGTTAACGGCGACCGTAGCCGGCGAACATAGCCGTCTTTTATATTTCACTGATGTGATAACGAGAGTTCGCTACCTCGTAGATACTGGCGCAGAGGTTAGCGTTCTCCCAGCGAATTCCGACGACAGGCTACACGAGCCTGTTTTAAATCTACAGGCGGCAGACGGAAAGCTTATCGCTACTTATGGCCAAAGGTATGTTTATCTTAACGTGGGTTTACGCAAACCCATTCACTGGATTTTTGTTGTTGCAGATGTTTCTATGCCAATCATTGGTATGGACCTTCTACGGCACCACAACTTAATCATCGATACGCGCAAACGGAGGTTAGCAGACGGAAACACTAATTTATCTGTTTGCCTGACTTCTTTTTCTGGTTGCAGGTTATCCCCAGTCACTATTAAGCACACTATAGACCCCTTCTACCAACCACTACTCGATAAATATTCTGGCATTTACCAATCGCAACCGAAATTGCCGTGTGTAACCAGCAATGTTACACATCACATCACGACTACAGGACCACCTGTCTTCTCGAAAGCACGCCGACTGGCCCCCGAAAAGTTAAGGTTGGAGAAAAACGAATTCGACCATATGATAAACTTAGGAATAATACGACCGTAAAATAGCCCATGGGCATCTCCGTTGCACATGGTCCCTAAGAAGGACAGCAACGATTGGCATCCAACTGGTGACTATCGGAGATTGAATGCAAAAACCATTCCCGATCGTTACCCGTTGCCCCACATTCACGATTTGACAGCCACCTTGAAAGGTGCAACTGCCTTTTCAAAAATTGACTTGGTAAAAGCTTATAACCAAATTCCTATGGCCACTGAAGACATTCCAAAAACCGCTATTATAACGCCCTTCGGACTCTATGAATTTTTGCGAATGCCTTTCGGTCTGAGAAACGCGGCACAGACTTTCCAAAGGTTCATAGATGACGTTTTTCGAGGTCTCAACTTCGTACATGCATACGTTGATGACTGTCTAATAGCAAGTACGGACAGAGAATCACATCTCCAGCATCTGGACATTGTTTTCGACCGACTACAAAAACATGGCATTACCGTAAACATTCAGAAATGCCAAATCGGAACCGAATCCTTAGACTTCTTAGGACACACTATAGATGCGCATGGCATTCGACCCCTTAGAACGAAAGTGGCGGCCATTCTGGATTACCCAGAACCGACCACCATCAAGCAATTGCGCACGTTTAACGGTCTGGTAAGTTTTTATAGACGATTCGTACCGAAATGCGCGTTACTTATGAAACCCCTTACCGACCAACTTCGTGGAAATGCGAAATCCATTAATCTAGATGACACTACCCGAAAAGCATTCTCCACGGTTAAGGAACATATCGCCCGAGCAGCAATGCTTGCTCATCAGGACCCTAAAGCGCCCATTAGCATCGCAGTAGACGCATCCGACTCAGCAATCGGAGCAGTCTTACAACAATGGGTTAACCACTCCTGGCAACCTTTGGCATTTTTCTCTAGACGGTTGCTAGACACTGAATCGAAGTACAGCACATTCGGTAGGGAACTCCTAGCTATGTAATGTGCTGTCCGGCATTTTCAACACTACATCGAAGGCCGTGAATTTACCATTTTTACCGACCATAAACCACTTACCTTCTCCTTAAGCTCTTCTCCGGACAAGTACTCACCACGTGAGTCTCGACAACTGGACTACATTTCGCAGTTTACTTCAGATATTCGACACATTTCTGGAGCAAACAATGTAGTTGCAGACGCCTTGTCTCGTATAAATTCCTTGAACAGTTTCCAAGGAATCGACCTTTTAAAACTCGCCCAACTTCAAAAAGAAGACAGTGATCTTCAGCACGAGTTGGCCTCAACAACACTTAAACTGCGCATTAAACAGATGGGAACAGATAAGGAAACCTTACTTTGTGACACATCTACAGGTAGGGATCGCCCAATCGTGCCGAAACAATATCGACGCAACGTCTTCGATACGTTGC